AGTTTGTGTACTAAAATTATAATTAACTCTTAAATCAGGGATCACAGATTTCAGAAATAGCACCATGGATCGCAGGTTTCGCAGAACTCAAATATCTTAAAGACAACTTTTTTTTTTGAGAAATATCTCTGAAAGACAACTATGCCACCAAAATGGTAATTGGGCTAATTTTTTGGGGCTTAAAAAGAAATGACCTGCAGGATTGTAGCATCTCCATAAACAAAGATTACTTTCAAACAATCCAAAAAGGGCGCGACCATGAGATGCTAGTCTAGAAAGGTTGAAGCGACATGGTCGGTCCAAGCTAAACGACGGTGCGTAAAGAAGTCATCGTATTCCTCGCTTGTTGGCAAGAAGCAAACGACGATGCACGCCAGCAATTGAGCGTGAGCGCAAGTCGCAACCGGGGAAGGCAGGCATGCAGACGCGCCGCGCCGTCCACGTGTGGAATATTTCTCTTCCACTTGTAACCGAGCCGGAAAACCGGTGGCACCTCCCCGGGATGATTTTATTCGGCTGCCGTCTACCAGCAGCCGCTTCCCTTCTTTCTACCTCTGATGACTCCAGCGACAATATCGGGAGCTGCATGATTCGATGCCCCTTTCGGTGGCTTCACACGGAGCCACCGAAGTTTCCCACGGGCGAGATGTCGCTGGTTTTGGTTGTGCCGCAGGGAATTCTTGATTTTGATTTGAGCAGAGCACGTACGAACGTACGCCGTGCTACCTGCTAGAGTGCTAGTGCCTAGCGGCATCAGTTAAGCACGCAATTGGAAGGGCAAGAAATTTTCTAACGCCTTTGCTCCGTAATGTATGGAGGTCATTCATACAGCATGTATGTATTCCGTGCGTCGAATCCTTCCAAAACTTGCGTACATACGCGCAGGCTCTAGAGCTAGGAAGGAAGGGCGCGAGTCGGTGGGCACGCGGGACGTGAAAGGGAATCCACCTGTACCCTTGCCTTCTCTTGGACGGCAAGACGCGGCGCGCGGGGATGCCGCCGCCGCCGCGTCCGCCCGCGGGGAGGCGCGACTGGTGACGGCGGTTTCGCCTGGTCCGGTCCGGGAAAAGGAAAACCCGCGGCAGGAAGGGGGACGTCGGTCGGTGCTGGACGCGGTCACTGCACCCACGCCGCGCGCGCGCGCGCGCGCGTGCGACGTGACTCGGACGCCACGACCCCAGCGGCACGGCGAGCTGGTGGTGGTTTCGGTCCGGTCCGCAGGCGTTCCATGGTAATTGCTGCTCGGTTTTAGGCATCCCGTCCCGTCAGTACGATCCCCAAAAGCCGCGCACGTTTGTTACGCCATGTTTGTTTGGATTTTTGCTTATGTTTTTGCACTTTTTTTATTTTGAACAAAAAACCATAAAAACTCCTAAATAGGTGGATTTGGAGTTTTTATGGCTTTTGGTGAGTCAATATAACAATATTTGGCTCTAAAAGCCATAAAAACTCCAAAAACACCTACTCCCTCCGTTCCTCAATATAAGGTGTATTATTTTTTTAAAAAGTCAAACTTCTCTAAGTTTGACCAAGTTTATAGACAAAAATATCAATATCTAGAATACCAAATCATTATCACTAGATTCATCATGAACTATAGTTTTACATTTTATATATTTTCTATTATAAATCTTTATATATTTTGCTGTAAAGTTGGTCAAACATAGACAACAGTTGACTTTTTGAAAAACTAATACACCTTATATTTAGAAACGGATGGAGTATTTAGGAGTGTTTATGGCTTTTTGGCCAAAGTGAAGAAGCTGCAAAAGCATAAGTAAAAGCCCAAACAAACATGGCCTTAGCTTGAGGCGATAGTTGTTCCATATGCAGTGCATATATATTTCTTTTTAAAAGCCAAACTTTGTAAAGTTTGAACATATCTATATAGAGAAAAGCATCTGCATTTAGAAATGCCAAATAAATATCATTACGTACAACGTGAGAGACATTTTTGTACCGTATATGTTTGGTATTTATTTTACATATAGATAATTTTGTCTCTAAATTTGGTCAAAGTTATCTAAGCTTGACTTTTGAAAATAATAATATGTGTGCGCTACATTGTGAAATGGAGAGAGTCATATTTATTCTTATCTTAGTTCTAAATGTAGTAAATTTACCGCTCCATGTTAGATTATTGTAGTACTAGTACATGTTTGGTAATACGAAAGTACCTGTGCAATATAACATTCCTTGTTAATTGGTTTGATAAATACAATATCTTTTGTCTTAATTCTTTGAGGGTGTAAAAAACTTTACTACATTTTTTAGAGAGAAGACCAACGAAACCAAAGGGCAACATGGCACACAAGCCAGCAGGAATCCAAAATAAACGAAGAACTACGCTCGAGGAGGTACCATCGGAGGGGGTGGGGGAGGGCATAGGGATATGGCATACGCGTAGATCTTGGCAATGAGCGAGGCGACCACATCGTCATCAATCGCCCTAGATAGTGCTTTCCATTGCTATAAAAGGGCATCCATTTTAATAAAACAATCAGCCGGGCGGTTAGGAAATATATCTTCAGTAGTAAACTCATTCCTAGTAGTCCAGAAGTGCGAAAGCAGCAAAAGTGGTCCAGAAAACATGAACAAACTGGCCTAAATAGTACTTAATGCAGTCAAAAATATCCAAGAAACTAGATGGGTACTAGTTAGTGTTCAACCACGATCGAACAAAATTCCAGCCAAGCCAGTGCCATGAATTCATGCAAATAGTTGGCGTGGCTAGAAGCTATTCATGACACCCAATATCGTGGTAGCACACCTCGGCAAGTTATGAGCACCGACTTTAGTTTCTCGCCTTGCATGAGCAAACTACACTTCATCAAAAACTTTCAGAATTGATTCTATATCCCCAATAATCATACTGCTTGCACCTTTAAATTGTTCTCTCACATGCTTGATCGATGCTGCACAATTGGTCACTACTTGCAGATTCCGTTCATAAAGATCACTTACCAAAGCTAGTGCTTCTCTACATGCCATAGCCTTAATGGCATCATGGATTGACCAAATCGCTTATTACCAAAGAGTCCCGCCCCAGTGATTCATGGAGCTCAATCGACAATAATCGCGCATTGAGAGTTTTATTAGCAAGTAGATGCTCGACGAGTTCTTCATCCACAGTCAGGATGAAGAAGTCTAGGCTAGACTTCAATATTGAGTTAGAAGTTGCACCTAACCTGCAGCTCGTGCGAACTAGGGTGTCGGCTAGGGCATGTGCCATATCAAACCAGATCCTACAATCACAAAGAAAGATCGATAGTAATTCAAATTGAAGCAACATATTCCTCAAAAATCAGACATACGGTCTATTTCAACCGCATTTTCACATGCGGGTGCAAGACGAAGAAAAGACACCACATGATCGTAACTATGTCCAGTTCTTAGTGCTAGTAGAATCATTTTTCTTGGAACAACTTTTGTGCGCAAAACAACATTCGATTGCGCGCGCAAGAGTTGCTGGCCAAGAATGGGCAAAGTGAAGAGCACATATGTTACCAGCAATCCGCTGCGAAACCCTTTCCTAAGCACTTGCTAAGCATCGCTCCACCGATGGCTCCAGCTCACTCCAAGGTCCCAGCCCCGGACCAAGGCAAAGCTGCTTGCTTCTCGAGACGGGCGATCTATGCCATTGTGGCTGGTTGTCAATCCAGGAAGTAATCAGCTTAACTCCTTACCTACATATCACCAAATTTCTGCAAGAGCCCATGTAGGGGCGACAAGTAGATGAGAAGCAGGTGAGGTCAGGCATCTCGGATCACTGGTGGTTGGGTCTATTTCCCACATCATATTTTTCCGTTCGCCATTCCTCTTGCATCCCCTGTATTATCTCAAACACTTGCCAGAACTACGCTTCCATCGAATTGATCAAATCGAGCAGAGCTAGAGTTCGTAGGTACCCCGAGTGCTTAACAAAATCAATCGACTATAATTTAAATTGAAGCAGCATGTTAGTAGAAATTCAGTTCAATGATCTACTTACAACGTGAGCCTGCACGAGTACTCAAGAAAAAAGAAAAAGACACAATGTCATCGCAATTGTGCGTAGTCCTCAGTGCCAGTAGAACCATTTCCTTGGAACAAAAGTCCGATCATAATATACCATTCCATTCTGAATAATTGATTCAACAAGTGTACTATCCAATCTTGGAGAGGGGGGCATCCCACACCCCCTTGTGTTATGGTCGCATGCATTCTGGGTTGGACAGTGCAGCCCAGTGAATGCATGGTTAATTTGGTTTAATAAATGTAATATCGAGTAGCATCCTCAGTTGTTAATTGGTGTTTTAAACATGACATTGTCGGCTTTAACCATGCCTTTTTTTTTGGTTGCGAGATCCCCTAACCCATTGTGTCGAATGCTAGCATCCTCGGTTGGGCACTAATGCGCGTCAATCAAAAAGAAACAAGTGTGGAAATGGCCCAAATGCACGAGAAAGAGTCGCGTAGGTTATGTTTTGGACATGATCGACGTGCACCTTGCTTTGCCCATGGTTTTCGTTGAGTGGAAGGCCGACTCTGTCCGCGCTTGGTGTACGGACAGTACAAGCATATTCCTCAGATACGTATAAGCTGGGAATTGAAGTATTGTTTGACAATTTTCGGCCAAAAAGATCTGTTGTCTGACACGAGTTTGCAGCCTTGGTCGGGTCTAACCACAAAGTTAAGGCAGGTGACGTTCTGCTGGTGCTGCTCTTGCCTATTTCGCGGCGCAAGACGAATAGCAGCAGCGCACATGGACCAGGCCCAAGGCTGACCCTCTCCTTCCTCCTTTGACCTTTCCTTTTGGGAACGCGCGGCAATGGCAAACGCACCACCGCACGGCCTTCGTCTTGCCCCCCTGCCCAAGAACTTCCATGTTTGCGCCCCCCGGCCCCGTATATATACCCGGGGTGCCGCCTCCGCCATAGCACACAACAACAGAGTCATCGCATCGTATTGCGCCTGATAATCAACAGCTTAGCTAGAGCCAAGAGCGAGTTGCAGCAGCCATGGTGCTCTCCAGGGCCTCCTCCGACACCGATGTGTCGGTGCACTCCACCTTCGCCTCCCGCTATGTCCGGTCGTCTCTCCCGAGGTATATATGCGCATGTGTGCCTGTTGTTCTTCTTGTTCGTCGTCGTCTAATGGCTTCCATGTTCTTCGAGGAGTGATTGACCGGCTGGTGGGTCTGTTGATTGGCGCGTGCAGGTACCGCATGCCGGAGAACTCGATCCCCAAGGAGGCGGCGTACCAGATCATCAACGACGAGCTGATGCTGGACGGCAACCCGCGGCTGAACCTGGCGTCGTTCGTCACCACGTGGATGGAGCCCGAGTGCGACAAGCTCATCATGGCCTCCATCAACAAGAACTACGTCGACATGGACGAGTACCCGGTCACCACCGACTTGCAGGTACGTTAGTCTCTCTGCTTCGAGCCGGGCCGTTGTTTCTCTTCTTATATTTATTTACTGACGTTGTTTCGGCATTGCATTGCAGAACCGGTGCGTGAACATGATCGCGCATCTCTTCCACGCGCCGCTGGGCGAGTCGGAGACGGCCGTGGGCGTGGGCACGGTGGGGTCGTCGGAGGCCATCATGCTGGCCGGGCTGGCCTTCAAGCGGAGGTGGCAGAACAAGCGCAAGGCCGAGGGCAAGCCCTTCGACAAGCCCAACATCATCACCGGCGCCAACGTCCAGGTTATTACTCATAGAGCAAAACAACCCTCTGCCTCGCGATCCATGGAATTGAGAGCCAAGAATTCACAAACCCAACCAAACATTTAAACTGATGTAGGTCACTTATACAGCAAAACAACCCTCTGCCTCGCGATCCATGGAATTACCCAACCAAACATTTGAATTGAATTACTAATTTGAGATCCTTTTTGTTTAGGTGTGCTGGGAGAAGTTCGCTCGGTACTTTGAGGTGGAGCTCAAGGAGGTGAAGCTGCGGGAGGGGTACTACGTCATGGACCCGGAGCAGGCGGTGGAGATGGTGGACGAGAACACCATCTGCGTCGCCGCCATCCTCGGCTCCACGCTCAACGGCGAGTTCGAGGACGTCAAGCGCATCAACGACCTGCTGGAGGAGAAGAACAAGCAGACAGGGTAAGCAATACGTACAAGGGCAGAGCAGCCGCTGAAACAAGAAACAGAGTCGTCGCTCGTGGTGTGCTGAATGTAGTTTTTGCAGGTGGGAGACGCCGATCCACGTGGACGCGGCGAGCGGCGGCTTCATCGCGCCGTTCCTGTACCCGGAGCTGGAGTGGGACTTCCGGCTGCCGTGGGTGAAGAGCATCAACGTGAGCGGCCACAAGTACGGCCTCGTCTACCCCGGCATCGGCTGGTGCGTCTGGCGCACCAAGGAGGACCTGCCCGACGAGCTCATCTTCCACATCAACTACCTCGGCTCCGACCAGCCCACCTTCACCCTCAACTTCTCCAAGGGCTCCAGCCAGGTCATCGGGCAGTACTACCAGCTCATCCGCCACGGCATCGAGGTAACCTCTTTGGTGATCTTCATCCGTTCAAACATCGAATTCCTTCGGTGAGTGAGCTCACATGATGGAATGGCGATAACGCAGGGGTACACGAACATCATGGAGAACTGCCAGGAGAACGCCATGGTGGTCAAGGAGGGCCTGGAGAAGACGGGGCGCTTCAACATCGTGTCCAAGGACGAGGGCGTGCCGCTGGTGGCCTTCTCGCTCAAGGACCACAGCCGCCACGACGAGTTCGAGATCTCCGACATGCTGCGCCGCTTCGGCTGGATCGTGCCGGCCTACACCATGCCCGCCGACGCGCAGCACGTCACCGTGCTCCGCGTCGTCATCCGGGAGGAGTTCAGCCGCACCCTCGCCGAGCGCCTCGTCCTCGACATCGACACCGTCATGGCCCAGCTCGACGCGCTCCCCTCCAAACTCACGCCCCCCGCCCTTCTGCCGGCCACGCTGCCCAAGACCGTCGTCGTCGCCAACGGCCACGTCAAGAAGACGGAGCTCGAGACGCAGAAGTCGGTCACGGAGGCGTGGAAGAAGTTTGTGCTCGCCAAGAAGACCAACGGCGTATGCTAGTCACGATCAACAACAGTCTCCAAAACCCAAATCATGCTCAGATCTTGAAGCTACCCTAGTACTATTATGTGAGTCGAATAAAACTATTATTATAGATTTAGGCCGAGTTTGTAACCAAAATTTTGCTGTGGCTTTGCGCAGTTGCGCTGCAGGGATGGTATTCTGTTAATGGTTCTGCAAATTTATCTATTTTAGCTTCTGCAAATTTAATTTCTGAATACAATAATTGAATCAATAATTATGGTGTTTTGTCTCTTTTTCCACAAGAGGGTTGACAAGGTCGTTACATGCTTCTTCATCATTGTGTTAATCACTTTTTTTTAACGCTATTGGTCAGTGTTATTTTATATATGGGTCCCTACCAGGAAGGCCAAATTATGCTGTCTATAACATCGGTAGGACATTTCCCAAATATTGAAGGAGTTACATTTTTGCAAAATATTTGTGTTCATGCTTACATATTTATATACATTTAACATATTTAAATACACGATTTCACATTTTCTTAAATGTTGGATACTTTTTTTAAATATGTTAAACATTTTTCAAATACACCTTGAAATATTTTTTGAATGATAAGAAACATTTTTTCTGAACCATTTTTTAACTTTTGTTTAAACATTTGTTGTCACACACTTTTTAAACTTGTGAAGCTTTTTAAATGTATGAAACTTTAATTACATGATATTTTTTGATTTATAAACATTTTTCTATATGGCACCTGCGTTTATTTTTCCCAAATGTGTGATATGCTTTAAATGTTATGAGTCTTATATCAGAAACATTTTCTATAAAATTTTCTATTTGAAAAATATAAATAATGTGAAACAAAAAACACATGATTATAGGGCCGGGCCGGTACCGGTTCCCTGTAGCAAGGCCAGCTATTGTCTCGCAAGAGGCGGGACATAGGTGCGCCCAACATGAACAAAACTCTTTCAACCAGGTCTCCAAACTGGGGTTTGAGCTTGTAGCCGTGAAATTTAATTGCTCACTTTTGGTGAGCAAATTTGGTAGAACCAACTAAATGAAACATTTTTTTGTCATCAGGGCTATCAATAGTGGTGACATAGAAGTGCCTGTTTATATATTAACTTATTAAGTATCACAAATCCTTACATTTACATCCAAATTCTTATGGGTGTTGAAGTCTTCTTCTCATGCATCCGGTAGAATTGTGACCCTATTTACTTATTGTGGCTGAAAACCTATGGACACAAAGTTCTATATCAGTCACAATTGAACGGACCAGACTGTGAAAAAATATTCTATAGATAGTGCCTGGAAATTATGCACATTGCTTTATAGTATTGATGATTTTGTAGTGATTACTCGCACTTGCAACCAAATCAAAAGTAATAATATCACATAAATGATTTTTTAAAATAGGGAAAGTGAGAAAAGAATTAATATTTGGAAATTTGAGATTTCCAGGCCAATCATTGAAAATTCCTAATATTACTAAGACGAAACTTGAAAAAAAGGTATTCATAAAAATATTTAAATGTGATGATTTTCAATGGATGTTCATAACTTTTTTGTGAGTTTTTTCTAATTCTCCAGTTTTTCTAGAACTTTTCAAATTATTTTTTCATGAATCCTAGTTCTAAGATTCCCATGTTTGTTTGATAACTTATCTAGATTTTATCTCATTGTTCCTTTATTTTGATGATTCTTGACTTCCAAATTTTAACTTTTGAATGGTTAAGAAAACTATTTTTTTGTGTAGTTATTAATTATCTCACAATTATTCACAATATTTAAATAATGTTTCTTACTGTTTTATTTATATCGTGTTGACTAGATTGATACGTGAGAAGTCACCTTCATGTCATCGGTCAAACATGTTTTGGTGGCTTATGAGCCCAAATCTATCTAGTTTTTAAGTCGTCTCGTCAACAATTAAGACGGTTGGTAACTTATAGATGTGTGCCAAGTTTTCTTTGTTGGTCCGTGCAAACGGGAAACAAGCTTAGGGTGTTTTAGAGTTTTGGAACCAAAATAAACTTGCACAATAGTTTAAGTGGCTAGAAATAAACCTTTTTTCAAGAAATATGAAGTAGCAAATACACTCACATCCATGCACATCCATGCGATCGTGTCGAGCATTATGGAATCCCGCAAAACTTAACGACCTCATTTAGAGCTAGATCTATCTTAATCTAAAGATCCTCCATCTCAAATGAAATTAGCTTTATAATTTATTGTATAATTACAATGAAAATATTTCGCAGCGACTAACTGATTCCATTGAGAATTTAGTCAGGGTGCTCCCTCGAAAAAAAATAATTCGCGCCTTCGCCCAGAGCCTCTCGTGCTCTATGCACGGTAGCTTCCACTAGTTGTGTTGTTATTGCATGCCAGTGCTCCACTCCCTACCTTCGAGCTCTTGCTGGCTCCAACACCGCCGACACTCTCCACTGATCAGTTGCTATGTTATAGATTCTCCCTCCACTACTCTAAGATGGATCTCTCATGGATGCGTGCATGAGAAGAGCTTAATTTCGAGCCCTTCGCACCGTTGAGCTTGTGATTTTTGGGAGGGCCATGAGGATCCTAGGGGAATGTGCGTGTGCTCGTTGGATCCGTCGCCAATATAGTTCCAGCGATATCGATCCGGCGAGGCATGGGTGTCGGTGTCAAAACCGGCGGATCTCGGGTAGAGGGTCCCGAACTGTGCGTCTAAAGCTAATGGTAACAGGAGGCGGGGGACACAATGTTTACCCAGGTTCGGGCCCTCTCGATGGAGGTAATACCCTACTTACTGCTTGATTGATCTTGATGATATGAGTATTACAAGAGTTGATCTACCACGAGATCGTAGAGGCTAAACCCTAGAAGCTAGCCTATGATTCTGATTGTTCTCGTCCTACGGACTAAACCCTTCGGTTTATATAGACACCAGAGGGGGCTAGGGTTACACAGAGTCGGTTACAGAGAAATGAATCTTCATATCTGAATTGCCAAGCTTGCCTTCCATGCAAAGGAGAGTCCCATACGGACACAGGACGAAGTCTTCTATCTTGTATCTTCATAGCCCAACAATCCGGCCAATGTATATAGTCCGGCTGTCCGAGGACCCCTTAATCCAGGACCCCCTCAATGAGCTCAAAGATGAAGGTCAATGTTTTGCAGTTTTTACACATGTTTTCCCTATTGAAACCATGAGGGAAACATCAAACGCAACCATCTATGTTTTTATTCTAAAATCAACTCCTTCAATTTCATGGAAGTTATCATATATCTTCTGCTCTGCTTTTTTAACTTGCTTTTATTGTACTAAAGGCTAACTAGTTCCTTGTTCTTAAACTGTCAAACTTTAAAATGAATATACTTTTTTATATGTCTATCCACCCTTTTATAGACCATGTCCACGACCGTCTCACAACTTTGAACCAGATGTTTCTATGATCACTAGTATCTCAATTATGTCATCCACCAAGAGGCTCACCGAGGGAAATCAACATACTGCACCATGAATTTATTGACATTCGATGTTAAGCCTCACTAATGAGTATATCTTCATAAAGTCGGTGAACTCCCGAGTCCTTCACAATGTCGTCAACAAAGGTGCTCAAGTGACTCCTAACAGTGGAGGCATACACCCACCAAGCATAACAAGAAAAAAATCACATGGTAGAAACTCCTCAAAATATATTTAATCAAACCCCTTTCATGAACCCATAGGATATCTCTCCCACAAAGGATATGATTGTGATGAAACAGCTAAACTTGACGTGTCAGGGTTCAAGAAAAGGAAGGAGTAGTTCTTGGCCTCCACATATTTAAAGAGGTGTTCTTGGAATCACCTATTAGATCTCTCTCTCTATCTCTCTCTCTCTCAACTTGTGTGGTTGTTGGTTATGAGTGGAAGTTCAAGCTGACAAGTAACTTCTTAGGCACGAAGAAGTATGTGGGGGCTATATATAGAGAGAGTCCAAAATCCGACTGTTATGTTGAAAACATAACTAGCTCGCAAAAACCAAAATAAAATCTTGCAGAGCTTCCAAACACATTCAAATATTTGAACAACCAGTGCATGTTTAGGAACCAAACAAAAACTTAGTACTTGGAAGCACCAGAAGAAAATAGAGAGGTGGTTCCAAACAATAAATGTTGATCCTTTCTACGAGTATTGAAATGGCTCCGAAGTACAGGGTAAATGTTGGAAATATGCCCTAGAGGAAATAATAAAATGGTTTTTATTATATTTCCTTGTTCATTATAATTGTCTATTGTTCATGCTATAATTGTGTTATCTGGAAATCGTAATACATGTGTGAATACATAGACCACAACATGTCCCTAGTGAGCCTCTAGTTGACTAGCTCGTTGATCAACAGATAGTCATGGTTTCCTGACTATGGACATTGGATGTCATTGATAACGAGATCACATCATTAGGAGAATGATGTGATGGACAAGACCCAATCCTAAGCATAGCACAAGATCGTGTAGTTCGTTTGCTAGAGCTTTTCCAATGTCAAGTATCATTTCCTTGGACCATGAGATCGTGTAACTCCCGGATGCCGTAGGAGTATTTTGGGTGTACCAAACGTCACAACGTAACTGGGTGACTATAAAGGTATACTACAGGTATCCCCGAAAGTATCTGTTGGGTTGACATAGATCGAGACTGGGATTTGTCACTCTATATGACGGAGAGGTATCTCTGGGCCCACTCGGTAATGCATCATCATAATGAGCTCAATGTGACCAAGTGGTTGGTCATGGGATCATGCATTACGGTACGAGTAAAGTTACTTGCCGGTAATGAGATTGAACGAGGTATTGGGATACCGACGATCGAATCTCAGGCAAGTAACGTACCGGTTGACAAAGGGAATTGTATACGGGTTTACTTGAATCCTCTACATCGTGGTTCATTCGATGAGATCATCGTGGAACATGTGGGAGCCAACATGGGTATCCAGATCCCGCTGTTGGTTATTGGTCGAAGAGCTGTCTCGGTCATGTCTACGTGATTCCCGAACCCGTAG